TGAATATTAAAAACTTTAAGTTAGTTTCCTGTAATTTGGCATCTAAATAGAAGCCTAATTCACATTACCTATATGGTGGAGCAGAGCACCCAGTGATTGTGTCGCTGTGAAGTTCTCAGGGAGTTTAATCTCCCACATGCCTTGTTGTGATTAAAGGCTGCTGTTGCCAGTGAAACAGCACATAATAAGGGAAAGGTCACAGCCATGGCAGCAAACACCCAACATTACTTAATGCAATGGCTTTTGTATATTTCCTTTTGATTTCAGTAATGCACACAATTATAAAACATGTCATTTAACTGGCGATGAATACAGTTTACAAAAACGAATAGACAAACAATTTAATACAACACTAGAAACCACATTTTAAAATGTAATTTCAATATATTTGTGCTATACATATATACAGTAAATGTACTATTATAATATTAGACATGTGGCGGTATTCTGCAAGCTGAGAGTCGGTAATTATCACCATAATTAATATGCATGATATTACCGTTGACACTTCAAAATTCAGTAAATAATTCCATATAACACATTAACATATTTTGTTGACATTTCTCTGAATACACAGTATCTTAATTTCCATCAATGAGTCAAGATTCAGAATGCTCTAATGCAACCCTTGCACATTGCAGGTTTAGTGCACGTTTCGTCTGTCACAGCTAACTGAAGGCGAGAATGTAAACAAAACGAAAACAAGCATAACTGAAGGAGGGATGTTTACGACTATGTAGGGAAAAAATTATAATGAAAGTGCATTGCGTAATTTGATAATCTAATATGATGACTGTGATAAGAGGCCGTCTCAGAGTATGCATAGCCACAACAAATGTGAAGCATGGAAGATTGAGAAAACAAATACTTTAAATTAAGAAATATCCTAATGACTTTGAATTTCTGCTTTATCTAAAAATGTGTGTGTTAAAGGAACACGCCACTGTTTTTTGAAATGGGGATTATTAAAACGTCTCCCCTACATTTAAATAGGTGGGCAAACGCATATTTGTCTCAGTGCATGCATTGTCTAAGTTTGCCAGTGCCACCGCTAGCTTAGATTAGCTTAGCATAATGAATGGAATCCTTTGTTGCCGGAAAGCATGTCGTGAGTAAAAGTGATCAAACAGCAAAAACAAAACAAAAAAAAAACGAATTACTACTTGTGGCCTGCGTCTTCACAACAAGTACAAATAACAATGCAGATATTGACTTAGGACTATATTAGGGTGAAGCACAGGCGAAGCACTGCTACTTGGGCGCAGAGATATCGAAGATATTCGGTGCCGGTCACGCTGGTATGTTGATGGAAGTTGGGGGATTTCAGGTGTTGCGTGATATCTCTGCGCCCAAGTAGCAGTGCTTTGCCTGTGCTTAGTCCCAAGTCAATATCTGCCTAAGAAATCACCTAGTCTTAATCTGCATTGCTATTTGTACTCGTTGTGAATACGCAGGCCACAAGAAGTTTTTGTTGTTTGATCACTTTTACTCACGACATGCTATCCGGCAACAAAGGATTCCATTCATTATGCTATGCTAAGCTAGCGGCGGCGCTGCCAAACGACAATGCGTTTGCCCACCTATTGATCTAAATGTAGGGGAGACGTTGAATAACCCCTATTTCAAAAAAACGGTGGCGTGTTCCTTTAAAGGAATAGTTCACCCAAAAATGAAAATTACCCCATAATTTACTCACCCTTAAGCCATTCTAAGTGTATATGGTTTTATTCTTTCAGCCAAACACAATTGGAGTTATATTAAATAATATCCTAGCCTGGTTAAAACCAGACCATTCTCAGTTATAACGGAGTTATGGTCTGGCAAAGCGTCATAGACAAATCATTTCCAGAGGGGCGTCACCAACGGACGTCGCGGATAGACCTAAACCCAATCAGAGCGATGAAGGAGATGACGTATGCAGAGCGGCGGAGAAACATCTCCGAGTGTTGTTCTTTGCTCGGTTTTTAACAAAAAGGAAACGTTCACAAATCGCTTAAAACAGACGCGATAGCTGATTCAAACAAGTGATGTTCGACAGATGCGGCATCCATCTTTGTAATGTAGGCTACAAAATCTGCTTCAAAATCCCGGCGCTGTCGTCATCGTGTAAAGCCCGCCCCAACGTTTCTGATTGGTGCCGCGATTTCGACGGATTGGAAACGGGCTTGAATGAGCTCTTTGCCAGACTAACTTTCAGAGCAAATCTAAATTTGCCGGAAGTTGTCTGGGTTTTCCCAAGCTAATAATATCCTTGATCTTTACAGCTTTGTAATGACACAGAATAGTTTTTGAAGCTCCAAAAAGTGCATCCATCCTTCATAAAAGTAATTCATGTGAATCCAGTGGGTTAGAAAATGCCTTCTGAAACTAAGCAATGGGTTTTTGTAAGAAAAATATTTATATTTATAACTTTCTCGTGAACACAGACGTTGCCGGAAGCCAGTGATTAGTGTTTGTAGAGTGGAGTTTCGGGGTAAGGGTGACCTCGGACCCGATGTATGAAAACTCTCCTCTTCTCTTATATTGAAATCCTCTGACATTTTTTCAAAACTTCTCATTTTAGACTTCTAATTTGTGACAGGTGTTTTGTTTTACTTATCCTCAGCGCTTCTGAGTTCGTTGATTCTCACCTGAGCTTGCGCTACGCCTATGTCCTACATCATGTCATACATCGGGTCAGAGGTCACCCTTCTGCCAGAACACGTCTCGTGAACACTGATGTTGCCGGAAGCCAGTGATTAGTGTTTATAACGTTTTAAATATTATTATTTTTTCTTACAAAAACACATTGCATGCTTCAGAAGGCATTTATTTGCCCTTGTACCTGACTGTGATGCATACAATCCTTGCCAAGAAAGTTGCATCCATGTTGATGAATCAGAAATTTGATAATTGAATCATTCATATATTAAATATCATTTAATCAAATGTAATCAATCATATCTTAAGAAATTGTGTTTATCATTATCATTTGATATTTATGTTCAATGCTTTTCTTTTATTAATCTTGATGTCTTAATGTAGCTGACTTAGGTTAACCTATTGTTCTTTCTGTAAGATGTGAGCCAAAGTCTAAAAGTTCAACTAGACAGACCGCAATGGAACAAGATGTTTTTGTTAAAGCTATACATAAATATAAAGTCTGCAGAAAAGACATCTGGCTAGACAAAAGGAGCAAAAGCAGTTTCTCAATGTTTTTGTTTGTATTAAGATGAACAATTTCACACCCATGGTGACACACCCATGGTGACAATTTCACACCATCCAGAACGAAATCCGTCTGCATTCACATTTGAAGGTGCAATACCATCAGAGTGTGCCCGATATGTTAATTGTTTTTTTTTTATTATAAAAAACGGCTTCATCTGAATGTTACGAAACTTGGTGACTTTTTTATGGCATTAGGTATGTGAACACACAAAAAAATGTAAGGCGTGATTCGAGCAGGCTAAGTGGTCGTACAAAAATTTATCATACTTTTGCTCTTCGGTCAAAAGTGACCGACCATAGGGAATTAATGGGAAATTGACAAAAACACAAAAATTCTCTACAAATCGGCCAAGATGCAGAAAAAAAAGTGCTCAGCAATGAAGGGATGAAACTCTAAAACATCGACAGTGAAAAACATAACATAATTAATATATATATATATATATATATATATATATATATATATATATATATATATATATATATATATATATATATATATAGCCTATATAGTTAATATAATTGTTATTAAAAAAAAAATTATATTCATCCGAACATTTAAAATATAGAGCCGAACCCCTGCGGGGTTTCGGGTCCTCTGTGAAGACCTCTAATTGAGTGTGAGTGAATTATGGGATCATTTCTGGGTGAACTATTCCTTTAAGTTAATTTTTGTTATGTAAGAGTGAAATGTGTAATCAGCAGGTTACTGTCACAGAATAAACCCAATACAAGATGCAACAATATGCTATAGGTTCTGATAGGCTATTTCTTTACTTTTTTTCAGTGCAATCAATAAACGAAAAGATGGCGGCAATTGATATATTTGACATTTTTATAGAGAACCGTGTAATAAATTCCATTTGGTTTTTAATAGCCTAATTGTGCTTAATATGAAGATTTTTTTATTCCCCTACAATAGACTTCATTTATATTTTAATCAGTTTATGTTCTGTCAAATGAAAGCAAATATATACTGTAATGTAACCTATATTCAACAAATCATAGTGATTTAGAGTGATTTGGGTTAATTCATTTAATTTCTTAAATGTTTTAAAGGTCAGTTGGTGTTTAAAAAGATAACTAAAACATCATTGAAAAAACTATTTTATATATAAAAAAATGATTAAAAAGGCATTCATCACAAGACTGCATTACATATGGTATAGAATATTGATACATTATGCAATATGAGTGAATATTATTTGTCTGTATGTATATAGAGAGAGAGAATGATGATATCTCTGCCTGAAATAATTAATAAAGCTTTTTTTTGTAGTTAGCTATCTTTTTGCTTTAAAATGTAAAAAGTTTACTGACATCATAATCATTTGAATGTAAGAGATAAGCGTTCAGACAAAAAATAAAACTTTCAATTATTTACTAATGTGAAATGTGATACGAAACTTTACTGAAACAAAGTAAACAATGAACTTCTAAAGTCCATCGTTTAGACCTTTCAGGATTTTGAAACTGAACCATTTTCCAAAATGTGAGAATCGTCTTCTTGTTTTGCTTCAATGAAAATTCCTCTGTAATGATGTAGCGGTAGCCTAATAGGCTACTCTTTTACTAATCAGATGTCTGTGGGGAAACCGTTATCTGACAGTGCAAAGATTAGAGAGGTTTTTACTTACAAAAATGTATTGCTAACTTGACAGAAACAAAGACTTAATTTCGGTCTATGGCAGCCAGCAAACCGTAACGATATTTTTTAACACTCGGGTCTTTTAAAGTTCACTCTCCAAATAGAAGGATAGACACACACAGGCTGAAACTGATATACTCACTTGTTAGAAAGGAATATCCAGAAGGCCACACTGCAGAGTGAGCACAGAAGGATAACAGGAAGGATCCAGAGCATAAGAGTCTTCATAACGTGCATCCACTCTCACGAGCGCACACATAGCCGCTGACATGCATGTGTTCTCGTAAACTCTCTTTCAAAAGCAGATGCTGTCGCTGCAAACTACTTCCTCTCTCGCCCTGCTGTCCTCTCCTTATTTTGTTCCTGTGCTTGTTTCTTGACAACTGCACCCTTTTCTTTACTCTCTCTCTTTCTCTCAGACTGTTAATCTCTTCACTCTCCCTCCCTCCTCTAAATTTAACTGCCCCTTTCTCTCTTTTTCTCTCTCTTTCTCTTTTCTCCTCTGACAGGCCTGGCTTTTTATCACTGCTCTGCTGCTTTGCTTTCCCCCTTAATCCATCAGCCCACGTTCTTCTCATATGTCTTCTTGGCTCACACAAGAACAAATTCCTCCGCACCTCTCTTGTCCCCTATGCTCTGTCTTGAGGCATCTTTCCCTTTCCCCCCATACTTCTCCACCTCATCCTGTTTCCTATGTACTTCCTTGTCTTAGAATCTGCTAAGACTTTCCTTCCGTCCGCTTCCCTAGAAATCTGTTGCTTCTCCTGCATTCTCAAGCCGTCCCCCTCTTCCTCACCCTGGGCACAACTTGTTTGCCCCTCCCTCCCTATCTCACTCAAACACACACAGTCTCTCTCTCTCTCTCTCTCTCTCTCTCTCTCTCTCTCTCTCTCTCTCTCTCTCTCTCTCTCTCGTTCTCCCAGGGTAATACGAGTGTTGAGTACAGAATTAGCCCATGGCAGCAACTCATGACTGGGAGGAAGGGTTATGTGTGCTAGAGAAGGGTTTTCCCCATTCATTTCAGTAGCCAATGATGGTCAAAGAATGCAAAAGGCAGCAGCCAATCAAATGCTCATCTGATGTGACCCCCTCAGCCACCCCAGTTTCTCCTGATAGTTTGAGAAAGGGAACATGCAGCAGTTGTGAGTGTATGTGCTGTTTTCTAGTAGGCTAAGTGAAACTGTATAAATAAAAAATTAAAATTGTGTCTTCATTTACTCACCTCATTCCAAACATGTATTATAAGAATATAATTTGGATAACTTTTTTTTCCCAACACTGGACCTCTTTGTGATCATTTTATAAAGAACAACAACAACAAACAAAAAAACAAAAAATCATACAGGTTTGGAATGACATGCAAGTAAATGATGACACTAAATGAATTCATTTTTTAAATACTTGGATCAGCGTCGGTACACAAAAACATCCATGTGCAAGGACCTAGGGTAGCCTATGGATGTCGGAAATATTTTTAAAGAAATCAGCCTGAAAATATGTTAGTACCTAGTTATTACCCAGTAATTGTAATTAGTAAAAAAGTAAAAAAGTTGTAAAAAAGGAAGTGTTACCCAGTTTCTATACATGCTGTCTTGATTACATTGTTTTTACTATACAATGTATTTCAAATACATGCCACACTGCTATATCATTTAAGTACATTTAAATGTAACCTGAAATCTTAATGTTAATTTTAACTATCTGTCAACTGCTCAGTTACTGTTTACCGCATTCAGACTTCATTCAAACAGTTACTGATTTGTCTGGTAAAAAGCCAACTGTTGCATCACAATACATATATTATGCAATCCTCATTGTGATTCCAAACGATGTTCCTATTATGTGAAACATCACTAAATATTTTATGTGCTTTGAATTTTGCTTTACGACACCTTGTCTTTCCAAGCTGTTTGCTACTGATGTGATCTTGATTTTAGTTATGTACTGTGGCAAGCAGGATGAGTCTGAGAGCCATGAGAATGGCAATAATAACCAACTGCAGAACCACAGAGCTACGTCACAGCAATCTGAACAGCAGTGTCCCAGAACAGTGTTGGGCATTAGAGCTTATAGTGAAGAGTAGGGTTACTGGTTGAGGGGGAATACGCAATCGTCAGCAACACATAACACCACCCTGGTATGGCAGGCTGAATTGACATATAGAAGGTTTGACTATCCATAAATACATTTTAGATGGTCACAATTGTATTTCGACTAGTCTCAGTTATATTTTGAGATATCTGCAATTATAATTGCACTAGTAAGAAATTGAATTTGAGATATCTCTAAACAAGTTTTGACTAGTATTCTATTTAATATCTGTAATGACGTCATATAGGCTATACTCAATCACACATATATAAAGGTAATTAGAGATATCTCTAATACAATTTCAACTTTAATTAATCTTTAAAGATATCTAAAATACATTTTTAGATATCTGAAAGTAATGTAATAGAATATATCTTAAATTTGAGTTATGACTATAGTCAAACACCATTTAGAGATATCTTGAATTATAGTTTTCACTTGTGGTAATTCAATTAGAGATATCTCAAATTTAATTATCAGTAGTATTTGTAATTTGAGAAATCTCTGATTAGAATTATGCCTACAAAATCAATTATAGATATTTTTAATTACAATTTCTATTAGTCAAAACTCATATGTAGATATTAGAAAATATTTGCCAATAGAAGTCAATGGGAGAATATGACTACAAAATAGCATTTTAGATATCTTCAATGCATATTATGAATAGGCACCCATAATCACGTTGTACCCTACACTCTAAAAAAAGATGGTTCTTTAAAGGTTCTTTATAGTAACAGTTTAGTACCGTATCGTCCTGAAGAACCCTTTATGGTTCTTTGTGTTATAGAGTTTAGGTTTCTTTATTCCCGCCTTTTTGTTTTTCAAATGTCAAAACCTCCTCATTACTGATTTTCTGGAGCTTATGTAGCCCCCAGAGTCATATAGAGAGAAATTCAACGAAAACCAATCTAATGTGGCATTACGGATACCAACTTGAAGATTTAACATGAAGACCTTGATTAGCTGGATCAGGTGTGTTGAACTGGGTTTGGACCTAAACTTTGCAGGATAGTTGCTCTCCAGTTGCAGGATTGGACACCCCTGATGAATAAGAATTAGTCTTTTTAATTTTCCTTTTTTTATGTTGAAACTTCGGTTGTACTGACACAGGGTGATGCACACACCTTCGTACTGAAGAGGACTTTATTCTGCTCATGGATGTCAATGGAAAAAAACATTCACCATGTCAATATGATTGCAATCAGGAAATGTTGCAGCATGTCAATTATCTCATGACAGATATGTTCATTACATTCTATTCCATGTTCTTCCTTTATCTTCTAAGAAGCTCAATATTACTCGGGTCACTGATGTGGACTGGTGTGACTTTAACCACCAAAGTATAGATCCTCTGTCCAATCCAATCAGGTCTGGGTCAGTCATATCTCTGAGGATATTTTAGAGGTTTTAGAGAAAGTTTTGCTGGATTTAAAAAGGGAAGAAATATGTTTAGAAATGTGTTGCTGTGAAGTTCTTTCTGTTCGTGAGCAATTGAATTTAAGGCATTTAGCAGAAAGATATGCACAATACAATACAAAACATAAACCCACAAGCCCAGTTATTTATTAAATGGTCTCTGAAGATCTTCTTTTAAAAACAAAGGCATGAGTACACAGTAAGTGAACTGTAAAATCACATCAAGAATCGCCTGAAAGTAAAATATCCAGATTTCAACGTTTTTTTAGCCTTCGAATTCCTATATTGAATATACAAAATCCCATAATACTGTTCTTTTAAAAATCACAGGATGAAGTTACTGGCTGTTCACCATGAGAGTTTTGCTTTTTGTACTATACACATGTGGATTGGATCAAATAATGGGTGTATCGCAGTCGGTGAGATCAAGCAGTCGTTCAATAAGAAACCATGATTCACAAAGTAATCATTTCAATTTCATCATGACTTTTAATCCCATCTGGAAAAGAACCTCATCACTGCTCCTGCAAGATGTGCCCAGATCCCCTGTGCATTTACTCTGTCTGAATTAAAGACAGTTCCCCCTCATCCCACCAATGGAGAAAAAGTATGAACGGATGATGCCTATGCTTTCTCCTAAAAATGAATGCAGCATTATTCTGTGGGACCTCAGTGGACACGAACGAATCGAAGAGTACAGGTTCATGATAGAATGGGGGGCAAATAAAAAAAGACAATTATAATGAGTTAGTGTCTTATATTACTGGCACATATGTTTGACTTAAAGCAGCACTTTACTGATTATGTGATGTTGCATTTTTAGATGAGTCGGATATAAAAACTGCAACATGGCTTCCATGTATTGACTGCAAATCGCCACATATAACACTTTTTGTTAATTTTATAGTTATTTCTAGTAATGCAACGTTTCAAATAGTATTACATCATTCAATACATCTATTTTTTACACATTTACTATTTAAGATTGAAACCTTTAGGCACTGAATGACTATTCTTTTTCGTAAATCTTTGACATCTGTGCACGTTTCAATGATATGAAACTGCATGAATGCACACAATGGGTTCCTGGCTAGACTTTAAATTACTGAAGAGTTTTTATGATTCATAGCAAGGAGCAACTAAATTCTTACATTTTGACGGTTGTTTTAGTTCTGTAATTTTTTGTAATCGCCATGACCTCCTGTTTTTATCAAAAGAGCTTACCTTCTCTTAAATGACTAATGCCATTCTGTTGACATTCAGATCTTCAGACGAAGGCAGTCAATTCTTACACTGGTAGTTTGTAATTTTGTTAAATTTAATTATTCCCAAAAGATCAGTTGAATTCTCAGTGGCAGCAGTGCTGTGAGAAATGGGGTTACATAATTGTGATCATTTAGCATTTCAAAATAGTTAATTTTAACAGAGTTGTAAGAGTGCTCTTTTCTAAAGCATCTGTATCCTATAGATAAACTTGTGTAGAGCTCACAAAATTATCCCTCAGCATTCTCACACACACACAGGAGACCTGTAGCAAGAGTTGTAACAAACTGTGTATTTATTTTAATCACAGTTGAAGAACATTTGGGGCAAAGTAATAAGAATCTTATTTCTTGGACTCGTCCTCTTTGGAAAGAGTTTTCATGATCTCCTCTTTCTTAGCCTGCAGTCTCTCTTCACGGCGCTTCCGTGCCTCCCGGGTCTTTGAGCGACGAGCCTCCGCCTGATCACTGCAGGGTGAAAGACGACACAGATTAGCACTGTTCTTTACATCAGAGTAAGACCATGTTTTATATTTCAACCTTATTTTCATCTCAATTCAGAAAAAGAATTCT